GCGCCTCCCCCGACGTGATCATCCAGCCTCCTCCGATCCTGGTGCGACCACCACAACAGGGACCGATCACACCACCAGCTCTGTCGGTGCAAGCACCAACTGTGGCGCCTGTGACACCTCCACCAATCTGCGTCAGGCCTCCTCCTCTACCCCCTATAACTCCCCCACCTGTTCTCGCTCGTCCAGGACCTGTGCCCTGCGTGCAACCTCCTCCACTAGTGGTGAGAGTGCCCAAACCAGCTCCGATTCAACCAGCGCCGATCAGTGTGACCCAACCCCGTCCCCCACCAATTAACCCTCCCCAGATCTGTGTAAGGCCACATAAGCCCCAGAATATTCAGCCACCGACTATTTGTGTGTCGACCTGTTCGCTGCTCCAAGGCCAAGGAGGTCAAGGTGGACTAGGAGGTTTGGGAGGACTGCTTGGCGGCGGAGGACTGATTGGCGGAGGAGGATCGTGCTCATCGCCTTGTCCTTGCCCTTGCCCATGTCCATGCCCGTGCCCTTGCGAGCCTCCCCCGCCCCCACCCTGCGGATGCCCCTGTGAGGCGCCCCCACCCTGCGCATGTGAACCTGCACCCTGCCCATGTGAGCCATCGCCCTGCCCATGCTAAACTCTAAACCGTATTTGGACTTATTTCCATTCAACATCTACATTTACTGGATATAACTTGTAGTAAATAACAGTATGACGTTTTCTGGACTAGTGGCGACACCTACTCAACAAACAAAAATCTGACAGATATCGTTATGTCACCGTTTTGACAGTTGACGTCAGATGTGACAGAGCATTTTTTGTTGCTGATTTTTGCATACGTTACCATCTTTTTGTATCCACTGAGAACGCAGAATATCTGGTGTTTTGACAGCAAACGTCAGCGTTTGATAAAAGACCTTTGAGAAGTAACCCAGTATAATGTATGACAGTTTTATTATTCTTGTTTTTTTAGAGAAATAAGTCCAGGTTTTTAATTGTTAGTATGTATTAAAGATCTCTTCAAGTTTTTACAACGATTATGGCATGTTTTATGGAATATATAACAATATTATGTACTGTTACAAATGCCCGTATGAGTTTCAAATGTGTGTGTGTCTTTTACAAATGTATATTTAAGTATTTTTATGTATTTTTATCATATTAACAATGATTATACGCATATGTATCTTATTTTTGGTTTTATTCTACATTTTTCTATATCTCTTTTTTATGGGATAAGCCGGTAAAACGAAACGAGAAACGAACTTGTTTTTTTGTTTGAACGCGCTAATCTCCGAAAGTCCGAAACTACTGGTCGGATTTGAAAAATTCTTTCTGTGTTGGATAGTCCATTTATCGAGGAAGGCTATAGGCTATAAAACATCACGCTATGATTAATAGGCGCCGAGTAGAGCGAGTGAAACTGCGCGGAAGTAGCTAGTTAATAATATAACGACACCTTATGAGGAAGAACCCTCTGTGGTTCGAAAATAGTAGAGCTTTTCTCAGTATATTCACGTGAGTAACCCGCGATTTTAGTTAAGTAATTTAGTATGTTTCACGATAGTTATTTTAAATGGCGGTAGGAAGTAAGATATTTGTTATTAAATATTTTAACGAATACCTACTTGCTTATTTTGTATTTATAAATTACTAGCTTTTGCACAAAAATTCATTCAAATTAGTTCAGTCATTTAGGATAACTAACCTAAACACCAGCTGCAGCGCCATCTGCTAGACTGATTTGTGAATCTAAACCATCCAAGGGACCACTCAAACACGTACAGAAAAATTCATTTAAATCGGTTAAGCCGTTTAGGAGGAGTTCAATGACACACACACTTACAGAAGAATTATATATGTATATAAAGATGTAGATTATGTTACTGTTGAAATCCTAAAATTGTGACAGGTATTACAACCTCTTGTTACTCCTGGACAAATCAAACAAATGTTAAATTAGTTTTTTTATTAAGGGGGGAAAAATCATCGAATGACTGCTTCCGCCTGGGTGAGGCGGGAGGGAGTGTCAGACTCTTACTGACTAAAAACCACCCCGTTCCTTCTCCTGCACATCGAGCCGGAGCCCCGGTAACCCGTTAGGTTCTCCGCGACATATTAAATTAGTTTAAGTATTTATTTCTGTACAAGTGATTTTTAACCTTTTAGAAATAAAATCATATTTGTCAAACTGATATTCCACCTACTTTTATTTATGTGCATAATTTAATAAAAACATAAATAAAATAAATACTAACTATTTCTAAATTAAATATATACAAATTAAGATAAAACCGACCCGAGCGTACGGCGCGTCACGTTCCGCGCGCGCCTCAAAGAGCCATCAGACGACCACGGATGGGGTCCAACAGGGCTGATACCGATTTGGAGTCGCGGAAAACCTAACGTGTTACCGGGGCTCCGGCTCGAAGTGCAGGAGAAGGAACGGGGTGGTTTTTAGTCAGTCTGACACTCCCTTCTGCCTCAACCAGGCGGGAGAAGTCATTCGATAATTTTCCCCCCATAAAAAAAGGGCCATAATTTTATATGTATGTAGCTTACGGTAAGTATGGTACGGGGTTACATATAAAAATTTAGTAACAGGTTTATCTATCAGTGTCTTGCTTTTGCTGACATGCAAGAAAGATGCTTTCAAAAGGGTTTTTTTAAGGGTGGAAAATCATGGAATGACTGCTCCCGCCTGGGTGAGGCGGGAGGGAGTGTCAGACTCTTACTGACTAAAAATCACCTCGTTCACGTCGAGCCGGAGCCTCGGTTACTCATTAGGTTCTCCGCGACTCCTTCAAAAGGGTAAAAATAAAGATTTCAGTACCAAAGAAATAGCAACGTTGCATAATTTTTAAAGGGCAAAGTAACAAAGGAAAATGGTATTAGATGACATCATAAGACAATAAAAATTCTCAGTAGTAGCACGGAGTCTAGAATTGTGCCCGGTATATGGCAATAGGCTCACCCCCTATTACATGGGACTCATAACATAAATAATGAAAAGTGGGTGTTACATTGTACAGTGGCATAATGTGCACCTCTGCCTACCCCTTCGGGGATAAAAGGCGTGATGTTATGTCATAAGACAATATGCACACGCCTCAACGGTGGGACATAGCTAAAATTATTTTAATTATTTAATACCTCTATTTATGTGTTAAGCCGGTAAACGAGCAGACGGATCACCTGATGGTAAGCAATCGGCGTTGCCTGTGGACATACGGAACACCAGAGGCGTTACAAGTGCGTTACCGACCTTTTGGGGATTATGAGTTTAAGGATCGTTGAGGATTCAGAGATTGGAGAGATTGGAAAGTAATTGGGCCTCCAGTAACCTCACTCGCACGACTTATATAATGATAAGACAACGATTTATGATGCATACCTATAGTCCACAATAAAGACGATTTGATTTGATTTTAACACAATTTGTGTACACTGACTACCTATTTTAAATTAGGAATCCTTACTTCCTTACTAATATTATAAATCTGAAAGTGAGTTTGTTTGTTTATTTGTTCCACCTTCACGCCGTAACTACTCAACCGATTGCTTTGAATTTTTGCAGACGTAAAGTTAGAAGTCTGGATTAAATAATAGGGTACTTTTTATCCCGGAAAAATTTGATATTCCCGATTGAAAACAAAAGTGTTGGTATAGATGGCGCTGTGTGTATTGGTATATGTCACATAGGCTACTTTCTATCCTTTTGTGACGCGAGCGAAGCCGTGGGTAAAAGCTAGTTAAGAATAAATAAACATTATTATAAGAATAAAAACACATGTTTCAATACCTGTTGCTGGCGACTTTGCCTGTGCAGAATATAATTCCTGTTTTATCCCATGGGATCATTTAATCGGGTTATGAGTCCCATGTAATAGGGGGTGAGCCTATTGCCATAAACCGGGCACAGTTCCAGACTCCGTGCTATTATTCAGATATTTAAAAAACCCAGTAATACTTTGCCTAACCCGGGAATCGAACCCAAGACCCCTTGCCCGGCAGTCACACTTGCGACTACTCGGCCAACGAGGCAGTCAGCAGTTAAATTATATTAGAAATATTTCAATTCACATTAGACACCACTGACAAACGGTGAAGGAAAACATCGTGAGGAAACACGGGCTTATAATTTCTAATTATAAGTTTAAAATCGCCAACTCGCATTGAGCAAGCGTGGTGATTGATGCTCAAACCTTCTCCATATGAGAGCCTTTGCTCAGTAATGTTGAAATGTGTTCCTGTATTGTTGATTTAAGAAAGATCAATGCGAGTTTGCATGAACCTCTCTTAAATTTTAAGGAACCCCTATGCTAAAATAGGTGACACTTAAAGGTTAAGTCTAGATGGGGTCCAGTAGGGACGATGTCCAACTAGAACTACGGAATACCTAGCGGGTTACCAGGGCTCCGGCTTTATGCAGGAGTACCAACAGGGTGGTGTTTAGTCAGTAAGAGTCTGACACTCCCTCACTCAGGCGGGAGCAGTCATTCGATGATTTTATCATTTTACCCTTTCAAATAGAGTGTAGCTTAGGTGCGGCATGCTAAGTAACTTTCAGTTAAGATATGGTTTAGGGGAGAGTAAGAAAACGGCTATCAGAGATATTTTAATAGTATTTTAGAGTAGGATTTAAGAAATGCGATAAAAATAATAAAATCGATAATATTATGTTTAGTTACAATACCATAGAATAAACTAAGAACCATAACGAATTTAACAATTCAAAATATTTAAACAAACATTCTAATTTTGAAATTCAAATTCGGAAACCGTTAACGTTAACCAGTGTTGCAAAACTAAATAATTCCAAATTTGAAAAATATTTCGTGAACCATTTTAAAACAATGTTATTTGATTTGGACATAATTCTTTATCAATTACTAATCTAAAGTGAATTTTAAACGCAACGAAATATGGTTTATTTTAATTTGTGTTCAGAAATCTAAGATGGCGGCTGTTCTAGGGTATATAAGATGAAACTACTTCAAAATGTTCATCAGACGATCGAAAAATGGCGAAGGGCACAGTCATATGGTTATCGGGTAACTATTTTGATATACATTTTTATTATATTCTTTACTAGAGACCCGCCCCGGCTTCGCACGGGTGCAATATGCATGTATTATACATATGATTCATTATCATCAAATGAATCATATGTATATAAATACATGACAATGAATCATATGATGACTGCACGGTTGGTGCGGTGGCTGGGCAACCGGCTGCCGTGCAACGTGTCGCGGGTTCGATTCGCGCACGGAACAACACTTTGTGTGATCCACAAATTGTTGTTTCGGGTCTGGGTGTCCTGTATATGTAAACTTGTATGTTTGTAAACGCACCCACGACACAGGAGAAAATCCTAGTGTGGGGCAACGTTAATAAAATTAAAAATCGAATTAGTCCGTCAGTTAGGCAATGAAAAAATTAGACACGTATTTTTTTTTATTTTGTCGTATAATAAAACAATACTTAGATAAAATGAATCAAAGTTTAGGAGTGGGGGCTAAAACGTCATTTCTACGTATAAAATGTACATAGAAGTGACGTCACGCGACATTTCAAATCAATATATCGCCGAAAGTATTCGTTTCTGTAAGAAAATAAACAATACGTGTCTAATGATTTAAAATATTCTACCAGACGGACATTGAAATAAAAATTAGGCATCTACCCTACTGTTGTATCATCATGAAACTTGACCATTGTGTGTAGATTAGAAGACAATACAATATTATGGTGCCATCGAGCTGGTCTGATATTTGGTACACACTCTTAATCTTGACGACCATACAATATAATCTAATGTTCCACAACTACCTCCATTATGGATATCAAACGAAAGAGCTTCATTTGTAGAATAGAGCTCGTTAAAATATTTTTATACCATAACTTGTTTGACAATTAATTTATGAAATACTCTCTGGTATTCCACAGTTCTATTCCTGGGCACAGTACTGGGACAGCCGTGCCCGCAGCCGGAGCCCCAGTTCCCCTGCCCCTGTCCCGCCCCAGAGCCTGTCCCCTGCAACCCCTGTGATGGAGCAGCTCAACAGATTGGCCCCTGCAACCCGTGCGAGCCCCCTGTGAACTATGTGTATGGTCAGGCACCCGTTGGTAAGTAAAATCACCTAATGACTAGGCGAGACGAAGTGTCATACTCTTATTGACTAAAAACCACCCGTTCTAACCAGAGCCGCGGTAATCCGCTAAGACGTGTGCAGCTCTGGGTCTTTATCTAAGGTGTACTTGTTTTTTTTTTATTTTTTTTTATGGCTTCTGCCGGTAAACGTACACACGGATCACCTGATGGTAAGCAATCGGCGTCGCCCATGGAAACCTGGAACACCAAAGGCGTTACAAGTGCGTTACCGGCCTTTTGAGGATTAGGAGTTTGAGGATCGTTGGGGATTCAGGGTATAGGGTGATTGGGGAAGGGAAGGGTAATTGGGCCTCCGGTAACCTCACTCACACGATGAAACACAACGCAAGCGTTGCTTCACGTCGGTTTTCTGCTCGTTGGTGGTATCACTCCGGTTGAGCCGGCCCAGCAGTGCCGAAGCATGGCTCTCACACACTTTTATTTTTTTATTCTTATCATAGAATTTGTTTGTTTGAACGCGTTTTCCGAAACTTTTGGTTCGAATTGAATAATTGTTTTGGTTTGTTAATCACAATTTTGTGTTGGATAATCAATTTATTGAGGGAGACTTGAGGCTATAAAATATCTCTAAAAGGAGTCGAGCATTGAGTGAAAATGTGTACCTAAGTTAAGATTATGTACGAAGCAGAATCTAGCAATTGAATTTTGAAGCAGATATCTTTATACAGATTTATGATTAACATAATACTACCTTGCGAATATTAACATATACAACTTAAAATATTAAAAAAATAATTTAAAACTAAAATATTAACACCTTAAAAAAATAGTAATAAAAATAAATCATAAGGCATCAAAGAAAACATTTTCCTCATCGCTACCGTGAGGTAGGGTGCCCAAAAGACTGGCAGCATTGCCACGTTGAATGGCAATGCTTAACCTTTGCCCAAGGTAGTAACCAGCCCCTCGATCACCTAAAGTGTCAACCATCCTCCTTACAATATCTTTGTAAGGATATATAAATAATTCTTTATAAGCAGATATCTTCATTGAACTGATATTTTGCATACACGCAATAAATGATGTAATTTGTCGTAATTTGAGATTTAAGTATACTAAAGTCTTTAGTTTTTATATTTCAAGCTTCATTCCTCCACAGGTTCAATCCTAATCAGGCCAGGACAGATCCGGTTCCCAACACCACCCCCGATCTTGGTCCGTCCTGGTGAGATAAGGCTGCCGACACCTCCTGCGATCTGGGTGAAACCTGCCCCAGTCCAACCTCCTACCCCATCGCCCATCACTGTCCGGCCACCACCAGTCCAACCAGCGACTCCTGCTCCCTTCTACGTGAGGGTACCACCAGTGAATCCTCCGCAACCACCTCCATTGATCGTCCGACCTCCACCTGTGTCTGTGCCACGATCAGCACCAATGAGGGTGAGTTATCATATCTATTGCTATTTTAGAATGAAATACACAATTCACAACTAATCTATAATATTATAAAATATTACTGGGTAACACCAAAGCTGGGAGACGACTGGCGTGCTAACGCTATAGGTCGTTGAGAACACATAAAAATGTCAACACATTAGTGTCGCCACACTATCTGTGTATAACATAACATCACATCTTTTATCCCTGAAGGTGTAGGCAGAGGTGTACATTACAGCACCTAATGCCACTGTACATGTACACTTTTCACTATTTATGTTATGAGTCCCATGTAATAGGGGGTGAGCCTATTGCCATATACCGGGCACAATTCCAGGCTCCGTGCTTCTACTGAGAAATACATACATAACATCACGACTTTTATCCCTGAAGGTGTGGGCAGAGGTGGACACTACGGCACTTAATGCCACTGTACAATGTAACACACACTTTTCACTATTTATGTTATAAGTCCCATGTAATAGGGGGTGAGACTATTACCATATACCGGGAACAATTCCAGACTCAGTGCTTCTACTGAGAAATACATACATAACATCACGACTTTTATCCCTGAAGGTGTGGGCAGAGATGCACATTACGGCACTTAATGCCACAGTGCAATGTAACACCCACTTTTCACTATTTATGTTATGAGTCCCATGTAATAGCGAATGAGCCTTGCCATATACCGAGTACAATTCCAGACTCCGTGCTTATATTGAAAAAAACCCAGTTATATTTTGCCCGACTCGGGAATCGAACCAGAGACCCTTTGCCCGCATCGAGGCGGAAATATACACCGTGAGTGAAATCAATTTCGTTTTCGTCCCGCGACAAAACAACTCGCCATAAGGAGTACTTTCGATGAAGATTTGAAGGCACAATTCGCATCGCATTCGTTTTATTAAAGAAATACTAGATTTTAATTTATGGTGGACTTATGGTGAAAAGCACTAATAACATCTCCATATCTCCCAGGTACAACCGCCACCAGTCCAGCCACCGGTACCAGATGCACTGGTAGTCCGACCACCTAAGATCGTCGTCCCAGCACCCCCCACCATCTGCTTCAAGCCAAACCCCCCCCAGAACTTCAGGACCTTGGGATCTGCCACAGTCTGTCGTCTAAGTAACCAGAATGATGGTGGAGCAGGTTGTTCCTCCTGCTGTGCTCCACCCTGTGTGCCACAGTGCCCCTCACCGTGCCCTCCCCCGTGTCCCCCGCCGTGCCCCCCGCCGTGCCCGTGCCCGTGCCCTTGCCCCTGTCCTCCACCATGCCCCCCACCCTGCCCCTGCCCATGCCCATGCCCATGCCCGCCACCCCCCTGCATATGCTAGATTTATATAACAATTTAATATATATGTAATTGTATGTATATATAATATATGATATAATGATATACATTTGTAATTGATTGAGCGTTTGAAATAAATTACGGGTTATTTGAGCAGTTTATTGTTTTTTATTTGTATACTAGCTTTTACCCGCGGCTTCGCTCGCGTCACAAAAGAACAAAAAGTAGCCTATGTGACATATACCAATACACACAGCGCCATCTATACCAATACTTTTGTTTTTTCTCGGGAATATCAATTTTCCGGGTTAAAAAGTACCCTATTATTTAATCCGGACTTCTAACTTTACGTCTGTAAAAATTTAAAGCAATCGGTTGAGTACTTACGGTGTGAAAGTGGAACAAACAAACAAACAAACTCACTTTCCGATTTACAATATTATTAGTAAGGAAGTAAGGATTAGTAAGGATACTAGTTTCTGACAGCGGTTTTGCTTGTGTTCTCGTTTGATAAAAGTAACCTTTGTGTTATTGGAGGCCAGAAGCTGTACCTATTCTAAACATCACGATCCCTTCAACCATCTTGAAGTGATTGAGTAACCAACATACAATTTTATATTTTTATATACAGAATATAATCTTATCTTATTCTATTATATAAAGCTTGTTTTATTAAAATTTGTTTTTTTGTTTGAACGCGCTAATCTCCGTTACTACAAGTCTGATTTGAATAATTCTTTTTGTGTTGGATAGCGCATTTATCGAGGATGGCTATAGGCTATAAAACATCACGCTACGACCAATACGAGCTGAGCAGATCCTGTGAAACCGCGCGGAAGTAGCTAATTGTTAATAATTCTGTAAATATCATAAATTAAAAATGTATACCTAAATATACTAGGAAAAAAGGGAATGTAAGTACTTCATAATGTTAATTATTATGTTTTCGGCTTCATCTCGTAACTGTTTGACGAGGAACTCGAGTAGTTTCAAGCCATGCTAGAGGCTCATATTCATGAGCAGCATTCCGCGACCGACGCGGCGACCGTCGTGGGTCGCGAAATGCTGCCTCTAGCATAGCGATCGCCGAGAGCGCGCACGCTGCATGAGGAAGAACCCCTTTGTGGTTCGAAACTAGTAGAGTTTTTCTCAGTATATTCACGTGAGTAACCCGCGATTTTTAGTTAATTTAGTATGTCTCACGATAGTTATTCCAAAAACATAGGTACTTTATAGGTATATATTAAAAAAAACCAAAGTAAAAAAAAAAACAAAATAAAATCAAATACATACAATTTTTATTTTGCCAAAAAGATACATAGGTAATACATAAACAAAACATTACAAACAAATATAATATTCATTAATTTTGTTTTTTTGAATAGATACACAATAATAATAGTATTTATTTTTTCAATCCAGGCGTTGCTATTCGAAACAGACTTTACTACACTAAAACAATAATTTTGAAATGAAATTGGATTACTTATAATAACATGAGATCATTATTAATTTTAATTAAGTATGAAAAATAATTTACGAAAAATCTAATCTTAACCCTTTGAGTACCGTCATTATAGACACAATTAAAGAACAATAGGTTGCGGTCACCGGTGTCCTCGTGGAGTTTGACAGTTTAAATAACAAAAATAGGGAATCTTTTTTTAATTTTTTTTTTAATAAGTCTGTACGAACACAAGGCAACTGAAGTATTTTTTTATCATGCTTGTATTTTTAATCAAAGTGCCATTTTGAGTGACCGGTCAGTATAGGTGCCAGAAGTGTCCCGAGATACTACGGGATAGGGTCCATTAATTAACGTGTTGCTAGTATAATGGGACGAACAGGTGTTACTATCTATAAAAAAGGACGGCCTAGAACCCCAACGCCTAAACCTGGGTACCCCAAACCTAAACCGAGGCCCAAATTAGGACTGGACTCGCAAACTGTAGTTCCGCCTCCAATTCCCCCTATCCCGCCGATCCCGCCAATCCCACCAAGTCCGCCCAAGCCTAGGCCCAAACCGCTATAGCCAAGACCTCCGAGGCCAAGTCCTAAAGGCATGCCTAAGCCTCCCAAACCGCCGAAACCTAAACCGCCCACACCCCAGCCGCCATAGCTAGGTATGGTTTCACAGACTGTAGCACCACCCAAGCCTCCTAAGCCTAAACCTCCAAGGCCAAAACCACCCAAACCTCCTAAACCACCAATAGGGCCAAGTCCACCCAGTCCTAATCCGCCAAGACCCCAACCCATGTTCGGTGCAGACTCACAAACGGTTGTAGACCCCATACCTAAACCGCCCACACCTAAGCCTCCCATACCGCCTAAGTAGCCTAAGCCTCCGAGTCCAATATTCGGTACGGATTCACAGACAGTTGTGCCAAGACCGCCGAGTCCAATACCGCCCAATCCACCAAGGCCAAGACCGTAAGACCCCAATCCTCCCAGGCCTCCCAAGCCAATTCCTCCCAAACCGTAGTTAGGTACCGACTCACATACAGTAGCGCCACCTAAACCACCCATCCCCATGCCCATCCCAAGGCCGCCCATACCGACTCCTAGGCCAGGGGCTGATTCGCAAACTGTCGTTGATCCAAGCCCGCCAAGGCCGACTCCGCCGATTCCACCGAGACCGAGACCGCCCAAGCCGAGTCCACCCCATCCAAAAGCTGGGACAGATTCGCAAACGGTTGCCGAGCCTAAGCCGCCAAGCCCGATCCCTCCGAGCCCAAGACTCCCTAGTCCGCCGAGGCCGCCGATACCGCCAAGATAGCCGAGGCCGCCCAAGCCAATGGGACCAGATTCACAGACTGTCGTGCCCAGTCCGCCCAGGAAGTTGGGGCCGGACTCGCAGACGGTGGTACCGCCCAGACCCAGTGGGTTGCATCGGGCGACGCACAGGAATGCTAGAAAAATGAAGTGATTGAAATCAGTTTTGGGATTCGTAGTAAATTAATAGAGACACAAGACAGTGGCATAATGTGCACATCTGCCTACTCCTTCGGGGATGGAAGGCGTGATGTTATGTTATATTATGTTAAATTAATTTAATATGTGAATATTATTTTTCATCAACTGTCTCGTTGGTTAAATTGTAAACTATAAGTGATATTGCGTTACAGCTTGTGCCCATGTCATATCTCTGTACCACCGTAAGTTAGGCTGAGAGTAGCCCTGGGCATTAAATCCGCCTTGTAGTATATGCGCAGAACAATTAAATAAAAAATAAATAATAATAATTGTCTCAGTTTCGGTTTGGTTATGAATGAGTTCCTTTAAAATATTTAAAGATGTGGGCCCATTACTATACACTGAGTATAGTTCCAGACTCTATGCTATTAATGGAATATTTTCACCAAAAAATACTTTGTCCAATTCAGAAATCGAACATAAAACCCCATGTTCGCCAGTCAGACTTTAGCCACGAAACAGTCAATTTACAATTGGGATGATGACAGGGTATGAAAATTAAAAATATTATTAGTCCATAAGTATAGAATGGGCCCCTTCCCTGTAGATGATAGTGTGATAATATGTAGCCTATATATTGACCCGACCTGTTAGTAATATTCATGCAAAATTTGAAGTAAATCCATGCAGTACTTTTTGAGATCATCTCGGTTATACAAACAGACAAAAATTCTAAATTCCATATTTTTGGCTTCGGTGTCGATTGTAGGTCATGCCTCAAGTATTGTTTTTAAAAATATTCTATGTATAGTTTTGACTTTTCTACAATTTTATCATATGTATAGAAGAATACAGATAGTTGTACAAAACCGCTGAAAGCTGATGTTACATAAATAATACATAAACAGAAAAAATTAAAATTGTAAAAACAAGGCCTTTAGCCAAACGCCACTTTAGCGCTTGTCTACAGAGAGAGTAGAAATCAAAATGTATGGTGATGACACTGACAAGTGTCAAAATGTAAGTCAATTCCATATAATTTGGTTTTCTATTCTACATGTAGACAAGCGCTAAATGGTATTTGGCTACAGCTGCTATTCCTTTTTGTCATCATTTCGGGAGCGTATCGTTTAAACTCAATAAGAAAAAGAATAACATAACATCACGCCTTTTATCCCCTTAGGGGCAGAGGTGCACATTATACCACTGTACAATGTAGCACCCACTTTTCACTATTTATGTTATGAGTCCCATGTAATAGGGGGTGGGCCTATTGCCATATATCGGGCACAATTCCAGACTCCGTGCTACTACTGAGAATTTTTTAAAAACCCAGTAATACTTTGCTCGACCCGGGAATCGAACCCGAGACCCCTTGCGACCAAAGAATACATAACATACACATAACACCACGCCTTTAATCCCCGAAGGGGTAGAGGTGCACATTATACCACTGTACAATGTAACACCCACTTTTCACTATTTATGTTATGAGTCCCATGTAATAGGGGGTGAGGCTATTGCCATATACCGGGCACAATTCCAGACTCCGTGTAACTACTGAGAATTTTTTTAAAACCCAGTAATACTTTGTCCGATCCGAGACCCCTTGCCCGGCAGTCGCAGTTGCGACCACTCGGTCAACGAGGCTAAAAGAATAATTTAAAAAGAAAATCCAACTCACCAGCTAATATAATTGCTTTGGCAGACATCTTAATGCTTGGACAGTCTGTGGTTCCAACAAGAAATATTTCGCAATTTATACCAAAAAAATTTAATTAAAAATGTATTTTGAAAATCATCTTTCATGGTTCATTGCTCACATCATATTATCATCAGATAAAGGAATTATATATTTTGGAAAAGTTAATTAAAGAATGTTTTTTTAGTAAGTAATGTTACGACGTAGTAGAATATGAAAGACGCTGCTCTTTATTTGTTTATTTTTATTTCATAATCAACCGCCAATACATTGCCCACTGCTGACCAAAGCGTCTTCTTACACGGAGAAGGTTTGAGCATTAATCACAACGCTTGCTCAATGCGGGTTGGCGGTAAACTTATAATTAGAAATTATAAGCCCAGGTTTCCTCACGATGTTTTCCTTCACCGTTTGTCAGTGGTGTCTGA